CAGAAAATTCCCTGAATAGCCAGAGGAATGTTGAAAAAGAAGAGCAAAGATGGTGGCATCACAATTCTGGACTTCAAGCTCTATTACAAAACTGTTATCATCAAGACAGTATGGTACTGGCACAAAGACAGACACATAGACCAATGGAACAGAATAGAGAGCCCAAAAATGGACCCTCAACTCTATGGTCAACGAATCTCTGAAAAAGCAGGAAAGAATGTCCAATGGAAAAAAGACAGTCTCTCCGACAAATGGTGTTGGGAAAATTGGGCAGCCACATGCAGAAGAATGAAACTGGACCATTTTCTTACACCACACACAAAAATAGACACAAAATGGATGAAAGACCTAAATGTGAGACAGGAATCCATCAAAATCCTTGAGGAGGACGCAGGCAGCACCCTCTTCGACCTCAGCTGCAGCAACTTCTTCCTAGAAACATTGCCAAAGGCAAGGGAAACAAGGGCAAAAATGAACTAGTGGGACTTCATCAAGATAAAAAGCTTTTGCACAGCAAAAGAAACAGTCAACAAACCAAAAGACAACCGACAGAATGGAAGACGGTATTTGCAAATGACATATCAGATAAAGGGCTAGTACCCAAAATCTATAAAGAACTTATCAAACTCAACACCCAAAGAACAAATGACCCAATCAAGAAATGGGCAGAAGACATGAACAGACATTTTTCCAAAGAAGACATCCAAATGGCCAACAGACACATGAAAAAGTGCTCAACATCGCTTGGCATCAGGGAAATCCAAATCAAAACCTCAGTGAGACACCACCTCACACCAGTCAGAATGGCTAAAATTAACAAGTCAGGAAACGACAGATGTTGGTGAGGATATGGAGAAAGGGGAACCCTCTTACACTGTTGATGGGAATGCAAGCTGGTGCAACCCCTCTGGAAAACAGTATGGAGGTTCTTCAAAAAGTTGAAAATAGAGCTACCATATGATCCAGCAATTACACTACTGGGTATTTACCCCAAAGATACAAATGTAGGGATCCGAAGGGGTATGTGCACCCTGATGTTTATAGCAGCATTGTCCACAATAGCCAAACTATGGAAAGAGCCAAGATGTCCATCAACAGATGAATGGATAAAGTAGACGTTATATATATATATAATATACATATATATATATAAATAATATATACACACACACACACACACACACACACACACAATGGAATATTATGCAGCCATCAAAAGGAATGAGATCTTGCCATTTGCAACGACATGAATGGAACTGGAGGGTATTATGCTGAACGAAATAAGTCAATCAGAGAGAGACATGTATCATATGATCTCACTGATATGAGGAATTCTTAATCTCAGGAAACAAACTGAGGGTTGCTGGAGTGGTGGGGGGTGGGAGGGATGGGGTGGCTGGGTGATAGACATTGGGGGTGGGTATGTGCTATGGTGAGTGCTGTGAATTGTGTAAGACTGTTGAATCACAGACCTGTACCTCAAACAATAATACATTTTATGTTAAAAAAAAAAAAAGAAGATAGGAAGGGAAAAATGAAGGGGGGGAAATCGGAGGGGGAGATGAACCATGAGAGAATATGGACTCTGAGAAACAAACTGAGGGTTCTAGAGGGGAGGGCAGTGGAGGGATGGCTTAGCCTGGTGATGGGTATTAAAGAGGGCAGGTACTGAATGGACCACTGGGTGTTATACGCAAACAATGAATCATGAAACATTACATCAAAAACTAATGATGTAATGTATGGTAATTACCATAACAAAAAAATAGTGGCTCCTAGTAGCAAGTAATCCAAGTAATTACATCCAAGTAATCCAAATGGATGAAGAATTGGGTGGTCCAAACGTTCATTGCATCTCCAGGGTTGCTCCTTTATAAGCAAATCCTAGAGAAGAACAGGTGCCTGGTTAACACCAGTATGTACACCCAGTTACAGAATCCTGGGGCTACCAGGAGGGGTGCAGTGTAATCCACTTGCACATAGCAGCTAATTTCACCCACAGCTGTTATGAAGCAAAACCTTTCCTATAAATACTAGATGCATTTTTTGTGCACATCATTTCCCCTTGTGTTCAGGGGACTGTGTCCTCTCTAGTCCACAGGAAGCTGACCTGAGCTTCCCCATGCATCTTCTTTAGGACCCAGAGATGTCTAAGGAGCTATGTCAGCATTTCAATCCTTTGCTTAGCCAACAATTTATTTTTGTTTCAAAACCTCATAATTTTAATTCCTCTACTAAATTCCCAAAGGTATTTCCCACATCTGAGTGCATCATACAGGTAGCTTTTTTTTCCTAAATGCCTGGAGCCCATTTTCCTGACAATACATGCAACTCTTGGCTACAGCCCCACAGACTAATATCTACATACTTCCCTAGGGACAGGAGCTTAACACTTTGTCCACTGCTAAATGAAGAACTTTCAACTCTACTCTCTGGGCCAACCTAACCTTGCTCTCTTTCATCAGGGTTTTGGTATCAACAGAGCCTGCTGCAAACTGACTTTCTAACAACAATATAGCCCTTAACTCAAGAACTCCTCACCCCACCCCACCCCACCCCCCAAAAAAAACCTCCCATTGGAAATCCAGCTATCCTTCTTGCTCCAGACTACTCAGTAATGAGGTCAGGGATGTCCTTGCAATTCTACTTTCCACCCAACAAGTAGCAACACAGCTTATGTTGTGTGGGACTTTCCATGAACTTCTTTAGCTATAACACACCTAAAAATAAATTTCCACCCTATGAGTGAATGTTCCCATGCTACCCATAGCGTATTTGACAGTTTCTGGCATCATCCAGGGCACAACAGGAAACCATAGGTTGCCTGATGCTCTTCAGTGGAAAGGCTTGTTTTAATCAAACACCACCAAGAAACAAGCAGCTATTTTTCAAATACTCTGGGAGAAGAATCTGCCTCAATTAGTTTTCAATTGCAAAATGCCCGGTGATGGGTATTAAGGAGGCCACGTATTGCATGGAGCACTGGGTGTTATACACAAACAATGAATCATGGAACACTACATGTGTTAGTAGTCAGCATAATGATGACTGGTGACTAACATAACATAATAAAAAAAATGCGAGACTACTTTGCAGAGAAATCCTCTGCGATTTCTGCCAAAGATTCCAGATGCAGCATCTCTATGATGGCAGAAACTTCTATCATATAATCACATCCTATGGACTCATAGAGACTACCTGGGGCCAACTTTCAGTAAATCTACTAACACTTCTTTCAGCTCAGGGTCTGCTGAAATTCAGTTAATTCTGGTGACTTTGTAAGAAGAGGCTAACAATATCTCTACATAACAACCATGATTTTGCCAAAACCCCAATATCCTAATAGTCTCTGACCTTCTTGCTTATTAGCATGATCTGAAAAACATGACAACATGTTGCAAAGTTTGAGCAATATCTCTACTGCTCCAGTAGAAGGAATTCTCAGGAATTTGACGATGGCACTTGACCTGGAATTTCAACCTCCCTCCAGGTATTCTATGGATACTAAAGGATTTCCTTCTTTTGAGTTTATACCTCTGAGGAAAGAAAAATCACAACATGTGCTAATTTGTCCCTAGTGGTCATTAACTCCAAATCCTGTCTAACTAAATTATGGCAACATGCTAATATGCACACATTTCCCTGTGATGTACAGTAAACATACACTGAGACCTAGTCTATGAAAATTCAAAGTGTACAAGCGTGACTCAAACTATTATAGAAATGAAGGTGTTAACTAAGTCTATTAAGGTATACCAATCCCTCTTGGCCCTTTGCAATTTCTACAATGCCTTTACGACAACGATCCCGCTCAAACAATCTGAACACACCTATTTAATCTTTCAAAGACTCCTTTACCTCTTATCCATTGGTAGACCAGAATCATTTTAAATAATAGAACAGATTTAGTGAGAATCAAATTTCAAACTCAATCATTTCCCTATCAGAGCATGAACATGTTGCTTTTCATGAATTGTGCACTGCTTAGTGTATTGCTGGTTAAGAAACACTCCCATGTAGCAAGTGTGTGAAAACTGGGCAGATGTCCACAGTGGAAAGGACAACACACCACTACTCGTTCATACACAATATCCATCCCATTATGCAGTCAGGTGTCGAAGCCCTCCAGCCAAAACCCACCAGGAGCCCAACTGTAGGTTCGTCACCCCTGCAGTGGGGGAGAGCATACACATGAGGAATGTGTCTCACAGACGGGTGTCTCAGCTTAAGGGTGTTAGAGAACACTTACACAGGATTGGGACTTGTGTTAGGTGATTTGGGGGAGGTTGTAGGGAAGCGGGCCTCTGCCCTGGATTGGATGCTGTCAGGGAGCATGAATATGCTATGATTGAGGATCTTAACAAACCTTTTCTAGAAGGAGAAGAGACTGGAATGAGGCAATGTTGAGATAGGTAATGAAGCAACATCACTCATTAACCAGGAAAAGGGGCTCTGTGCTGTTGTGGGTTGGGCACACTGACATTGCTTTTGTCTGTTTGGAAACAACACTGGGAAATGATCTTGCTCTTTGTATCCCTTCATCACAGTTACCGAGCGCCTTTGTCTCCCTTGGTCTTCTGTGACTTTCCATGTGTGCAATGGGAGAACTCCATTTCCTAGCCCTCACCCAACTCAGACCCTAACACCTCCAAAGCCCAGCCGTGCAAGGCCAGTTCCCAGATGGCAAGGCTGCTTTCCTTCTTCTCACCTCCTAAGTCATTGCAGTTAAGAGAGTAAACATGGCTCAGTTGATAGTAGAGTTTGGTGGAATCCAAAATGGATATTGGTGCCTAGTAAATGCTGAGTAGTGCATTCAGGTGAGAGAAACATCTAGGCTCTAGTGATGGGCACAAGAAGTATGTCGTATGTTTAAAAATTAGGGACACATGTACAAAGTATAATTCACAGTCACACAGAAAGGACTAGATAAAATTCAAAGTATCTGTCACTGGGATTGACTGAATCATCGCACAACCACTCTCCAACCTCTTAAAAATATATGATTCTTAATGTTTTTCAATTTTTTTTATTTGAAAACAGATAAACTGATTAGTGATAAGACAGAGATAGTAGATGTGTTAAGTAGCAGGATTAAATCAATTGAAGAGACATTGTGGCCAAGCCCAGCAGGATCAATTGCAAAAGGCCCAGGCTACCTTCATCTTAGTGCTTATAGAAACCTAGTTTAGTCTTAATCCTGTTGATGATGTCTGCAAGAGAATAAAATATATTGTCAAGAGGATTTCAAAAAAAGATGAAGAACGTGGCTAGCAAATGTCAAATGGCACTGAGTTCCATGGGTTCAAAGGAACATTACATGTTCATCTCTCCTCACCACCCACCAGAAGAAAAACAAAACAAACCCCAAAAAATGGGTTTTTGCAGCCCTAGACAGGAGCTTAGGGAAGCTGGAGTTTAGAGAGAACAGGAAGTAAATAAATATGCATAGTTTTCCTTCCCCCAGAGCACAAAGCAATCCAGCCTTCTTCTCAAAAGGGATAAATACTCCTTCCCACCCCCCATAGGCTGCCAATACACATCTTTGAGCAAGGTACCAAGTAATGGGCCCAACACTGAAAGACTATAAGCCATTTGAAAACTTTTCCTCAAGATTTGATTCAGTACAAATCCAATCTCTCCCATATGTGCAGGGGAAAGTTTCCATTTCTTCATCTTTACAGTTTACTCAGTAGAGTGACTCTGAGATTTAAATTACACTGATATGTGAATTGTATACCGAAATGCCTGGCATGTGTCCACACTCATCAAATTTTGTAATCCATGTTCCATGAGTGTGAACGACAGCAAAGATGAGCCAGGACTAGGAAGACTATACTGTCTTGATCTGCAAGGAATGTCCAAATTCCCAGAAATATCCTGAACAATGCTCAAAAGTTTCTGTCTCAAGGAAGCCTCATTTTAAAGCTATTGCTGTTTTTAGAAAAGTCTTTCAAGGAAACAGAAACTTGTCTGATGAAAAAAAAAAAAAGAAAGAAAAAAACAGACATAAACAGTTACCTGGCCCCAAGGAGACACTCACTTTGGTCTTTTCAATGACATTTCTACTGGAGATGAATTTCCCTCTGACATGCTAATGTTTACAGACCATGCAGGTATATTGGTAAAAAAAAAGAAAAAAAAAGCTACAACCTCAGGCTCCTCTGAGATTTATCTGTTGACTTGATTTTAAAAGCCAAAAACTATTAGAGAATAATGAAAACAGATCTTTCTCAGAGCTGCTCCCTCCTGCCTCCAAAATAGAGTTTACTGGGACAGTAGAGAACCTAGGAATCCAGAAGCCCCAATAAGTAAGCATGTAGATGGTGCGGACTTACATCTTATAAGGTGAAATGAAGTAGTGGTGGCAGCAGCAGTGGTGTCCGCAGCAGTGGTCTCCGCAGCAGTGGTGTCCGCAGCAGTGGTGTCCGCAGCAGTGGTCTCCGCAGCAGTGGTGTCCGCAGCAGTGGTGTCCGCAGCAGTGGTGGAATCAGGGGCAGCTGAAGTTAGGAGGGAAAATCCAGCTGAAGCACTTGACTCTGCCTCAGGAAACAAAATTTGTCCTACCCAAGCTTGGAGGTACATTTCTCATTCTGAATTCATCTCTGTAAATGTTAATAATCCTGTCATACCATTAGCCAGTCTACCCACTTTCCTTTAGCCTCATTCTTCGTAGCACTGTCTTGTGGCACTGAAAGAATTTGGGTTTCCCTACAAAGATGGTGACACTAAAGAAGACACAAGGACATACTTTCTCCCAGGGGTGAGCACAAAATACCAAATCCATATGTGTTCCTATTTGTTGGGATCAAGACTCAGAGGCAACAAGAAAACCCCCAGTGGACTTTCTGGTGCCCTCCCATGGGCTAACTTGAACTGATTAGTTTCCATGGCAGCATGCATGAGTGTCAGTAGTGGAGTAAACTGTACAGGAGAAGAGAAGAAAGAATAAGATCATGTATGTATTAGAGCAATAGGATCTCCTTTCTTTGAATGAAGCACAATCTCTTTCCTCAGGTTCTGGCCTAAAACAGGATTATATTTGTCTTACCTGTTGTTCAACTTGGAATTCATCTATTACAGAATTATCTAGAAGAGCCACATTAGATGTAACAGGAGAAATTAATACTATTCTGGCAATGGTAAAAGTGAGCAAATGCCCCATCAATCATCCCTTGTTCAAAGGTAATGTGGCAAGATTGATGACCATTATCACTCTCTACACCTTACATCAGAACTCGTGACAGATAACCAGAGTCAGACCCTACATTTGTGAGTTGCATCTAACTCAACAAGTGAATAACTCATTCTCCATAACCACACTCTAACCATGCTGTCTCTGTCCTCATTCAGAAAGAATATTGTTTTCCATTGGCCTTACATGGCAGGTAGGACATATGGTACAGTGATTGCAGTCCATGCCCTTATGACCAAAGGACACAGGTCCCCATCTGTGGAGGACAAAAAGAGAAATCTTCTTCATGTCTGCATGACCAAAACACACATGGCATTGGACATACAGGACACTGTGGGAGAAATCCAAAATATACTAGGGTCTTTGGTCCACAACTTGGATTTCAGATCATAGAAGGAAAACACAGGTCAGCCTAGGAATAAGGCATATATATTGTTTCAAAGAGGAAAGCTTAAGGTCATCCTTCTACTTCACCCCTACATTCCATAGTCTCCGTTCTACATTCCCATGTGCTCTTAATGCCCGCATTTCTACATCACCTTCAGCATCTACATTCTCTTCTGTCATCCTGAGATATTAACACCTATTTTCACACTTTGGCCATATATTCAGCCGTTCAATTTATGGTAATCACAAAGGCTTAACAACTCCCCAAATCCCCAGACTACAAATTCACACAACATATCCTTGTCATTTTTCATAGAGAACAATGTATATACTCCACACTTTATATAACCATGCCAGAGTCTTTATATTATCTAATAATGCATAAGAAATCAACATATTTTCTACATTCACAATGAACATTAGAAACAGGAATGTGCTTCCCCAGGCCTCTGCTTTGGAGTCTCTATACACTGGCTTCCATGACTGCTTGACATGAAGCTGGAATGGAAAATGGTCATGACAGGAGGGAGATGAAGTGTAAGCGCAGACTTACCAGTAGAGCTACCAGAGGGAGCACTTGTAGTCTCTGAAAGAGAAAAAGAAAAAATAGATGTAAGCTGAACAGCACTGTGGGGGGATAGATGGAAGAGACAATACGGACAATATTGCAAGCTTTCACAGTTGAAGAACCTTAGGCTTTCCGCACGTGTTGAGGACAAAAAGATGCACAGATAATATGAAACCCACAAAATCCCACAAAAAAAAACATAATACATCTCCATTTTTGCTTTCCTGAAATCAACCTCTGATGTATGGTCCTGAACTAATATTGAGCAAAGACCTCACTGAATTGTCAGAGCCTAAAGGGAGAGTTGTCTCCATCTTGAAAAGTCAGTCAAAACAGGAATGGAACAGGGTATTGGAGTGGAGGACACAGGGGCCAGCATTCTAAGCCCCTCCAAACCCACATCCACACAGACCTTATATCATGATGTACTCTTGCTCCAGAGCTTATTTCATGTAAGAAGCTTTACTTACGGCCTGAGACCAGAAAGGTGGAAACTGCCACCAGTACCAGCAACACCAAGACCTTCATGCTGGTGAATTGATTAGCAAGGAGCACAGAGAGGAAAGCGTCCAAGCTCAGGAGAAGGTAGGATTCTGACTTCAGCAGTCCACATCCTGACATTATAAAGGCAGAGGGCACCAATCAGGAGCTGCCAGATCAGAATCCGGGCTAGTTAATGTCAGGAAATGTTGATACTCAGAGAAACCACTAGAGAGTCAACAGCACAGCCAGAGGCCTTTGGAAAGATCACTTTAGTCCCTTGATTCTGACATGGGCTTTAAGTCAAGAGTTTCACATATTTGAACATTTTCCAGAAAACAATTTTGCTTCCAGGCTTCCTCTCACCTTGTAGGGTAGACTGGCACCATGATTACCAGCTCTGCTGACAAGCTGGAGGAGCCCAATACCCAGACTTGGGGGTTTATTCAAACCTGCGCCTCACATCAATTAGAATGGTTGTCAGCAACAAGGCAAGAGATAACAAGTGTTGACAAGCTTGTGGAGAAAATAGAACCCCAGTACACTGTTGACTGGAATGTAAATTGATGTACCACTGTGGAAACAAATATGAACATTCCACAAAAAACAGTAAATTGATCTATCATGTGTTCCAGCAATCCCTCTTCTGAATATATGTCCAAAGAAAACGAAAACACAATGTCGAAGAGAAATCTGCCCTCCCATATTTATTTCAACATTATTCAAAATAGCCAAAATGATGGAAACAACTACATGCCCATCAATGGGTAAATGGATAAGGAAGATGTCATATGTGTACATATACATAATATATTAATTTAGCCATGAGGAAGAAGGAGAGCTGCCATTCCTTACAAGGATGGATCTTGAGCACATTATGCTAAGTGAGATAAATCAGAGAAACACAACTATTGCAAGGTATCACTTATATGTGGAATAAAAAAACCAAACTCATGAAAACAGACATTAAAACTGTTGTTACCTGGGATAGAGTGTGGAGAGGCAGACAGATGTTGTTTAAATATACAAACTTACAATAAGGAGTGAAGGAAAACCCCAAAGATCACTTCCTTCCTTTGGGTGAGTCTCTGAGGCACAAGAGCCCCTCTGCTTGCCAAGACATGTGGGGAGATCCTCATCGAGTAGATGGAGAAAGGCCACAGGAATCCCTGTGAAGGTGCTCTGCTCTCTGAGGCAAGGGGACGTCCTGGTCCTAAGTAACCTCACTTCTGCCATGAGGCACATACCTTCAAACCATGGTGGAAAGTTAACATTTAAAAAAAATCAAAACAAAACATATTCTGAAGGAAAAGAAACAGAAAAGTTAAAAGAAAGTAAAAAAAGAAGTAGCCAGAAAATAAAGGGGCACTAGGGTTATACCCAGTATGGAATAAACGCCAGCAGCCCAGCACAGCCACTCATGGGCTCTCAACAGAACTGGACACAAACTGAAGCCTGACCTAGCAAATGGTTCGGTATTGAGCCCCCGCTGTATGCCTTCCACCATGCTGCCAGTGCAGGGCACAGAGACCCACCAGATGGAGTGAAGGGGATGACTGGTTTGCTGAAGAAAGACTACAAATGTGCATCATTTAGGGTCCACTCAGGACTTAAAAACAACACAGTGGGTGAAACAGGGGAACTTTAAAGAATACCGAATTCTGATACATGGGTAACTCCAAGGAACCCGCATGTGGAGCACCAGGGCTGAGGGAGAATATTCAAGGAAGGACAATGGTGGAATGGGGCCTTCTCCCTGAAACTGGTGGTCAGACCTCAGTCAACAGGTGGAGTTCCACCCACTGCATAGCAGAGATGTTCCCTGATTTTCCCAGACTGAAGCTGGTCTGTAGTTGCTGGGCCAGCAGGGAACAACCATCCCCCCTGCCCCTCAGAGTGCAGGGGGCAGGAGACAATCAGCAACCCATGGCCTAAATGTGCAGAGGAGGTAAGAACTCAGGGTGGAGGTGGGCCACATGGGGCCTGCAGAGAGAGATGTGGTTCAATGGGAACCCTCAGGCCACTAGCAGGGCCTGCTGAATGAATTGGAACTGGGGCAGAAAAGGGCCTTTGGGATGCCAGGTCCCATGTCAAGAGGGTTGTGGAGAGATTAGTGCCCATCCAGACCCAGGCTGCCAGTGCCCCCAGGACTGCAAATGCTGGCCACGTGGCTGGGGCAGGACTCATCCACACAGTCCCAAACCCACACTGCTGACCACCATGCTGCAGCTACAAACCACGGGGAAGCCCCTTCCTCCTGCAATCTCTCCAGTGGCTTCAACTGAGAAAATACACATTGTGGTCACTGTAAAGGGCAGATGCTTAATGAGCCATCTGCACTGTGGCAGAGCGTATGCTGAAGGGTGCATTTGTGTTTGAAGGGCAGTAAATTGATGACTGATACTACAGGACACATAAAAATCCAAATAACTCTGAGCCTCAGATTCCAGGGTACAGCAGCAGGACCCCAAGTCCCCCACCAAGCTTCTACCAGCACAGCTGGATGCTCACCTGTCATCTGACCAGCTTCCACAATAAACGTGGACAAAGAGTTCTCAGAGATTGTTTTGCTGACATGATGGGAATTTGGTGACATTGTAATGCTTCAAATGGTATCTATCAAATAGTACTTTTAGGAGCATCTAAAAACTGAGTTATAGTATATGTAAATATTGAAAATATGCTCACAAATACCAACAAATTTTTCACTAAAACAAATGGCATTGTATATATATTGGGAATGCAATATCAAAATTAGAGATCATTCCCACTTTTAATTTCGTACATTTATGTGGCATCTGTCAAATTCTATTTAAATATACTTTATGTGAAACCAAACTTACAGGTATATGTATATATACATATATATATCAACCAATGTAGCCAATTTACTTGTGCCTCAGGATATTTATTCTTACTAAGAAAATAAGAAGATAAATATAGATATATATATCCTAAAAAGTCAAATACATAATGCATCCCCAAAACTTTTAACTACTGCCCTTTCCCAAAACAATATTTTCATAATTTTCATTATAAAAATTAAAATAGAAGTATGTGTAAGAAGTAAAAGTCACCAGACCTTCCAATACAATGTGATAACTGCCATTATTACTTTGGTAATGACACATCTCCTAAACCTTTATATGTACACGTGAACACATGCTTCTCCATGCCTAATATTCCATACTATCACTGTTCCCACCACCAAAAAGCACATGTTAAATGAGTTTGTCCACGTGCTCATTCTCATATGCAAATGTGTGTCTCTACAAACGTACGTCTACATGTGTTGTATCTTACAAAATGGTTTACAAAAATGGCATTATATTCCAGATTATTCTCTCTTTGTTGTACAACCAACTCTACTTCCTAGAAATCCAAGTCAGCCACTGCACATCTACAGCATTCTTCTCACTGGCTTTCCTATGTCATCACTTACTCTCCCTGCTGATGGGAATCCAGGTCATCTACCTGTTGCTCTTAGTCATGAAGCCATTCATATCCTTTGGACTGTACCTTTACATACAAAAGTTGCCATAGGTCTCCAGAGGGTTTTTAATAAAATCATATGTACCATCTAAATTGAACAGATATATTGAAATTCATTTCCCAGAGGACCCTAAAAATTAATATTGACAGAATAGAATATAGGCTCTTGTTTTTCCTACCCTCTCTGGCAGCACTAACTGCTATCCTGATTTAACTCTGCATATCTGATACGTCAGAAGCAATATTTGTCTTGCTTATTTGCATTTCCTGATTACAGCACACTGAGCATACTGATCTATTTGTTGTCCATTTGAATTTTCCCTCTCAGGTTTTGCCCAATAACATCTGATATCTCTCTGTCTTCTGTTCTTATCATTTGTGGACTTGTACCAGAGGAGTAGTAGTATCATTTTCATCTTTCCTAAAATCACAAAGGTTTCCAATCTAACACGTGTCTCACTTATTCACAAAATACTTTTAGATTTCTTAATTCAAGGAGTGCTTTCATATTTATTGTAATTTTTATATTAAACAACTTGAGAAACATGTAATGGGGTCATCTTAAATCACTGACACATTAGTACTCCTGCAAACAGAGATCACAGCTCTTTAATCCCTGATTTCCCAGTGATCACAAACCTGGCCCCAGTCACCAGGACACACTCTACTTGGAGCATATTTGAAAGGGAGTCAAAACCAGAAAAGCAGTCTCATTCTGAAGACAGGCCCTAGAGAGAAGCATCAAGGACTCAGTCCAAAACAAGACCCCTCTCCCCCCACCCTACACCGTGCAGAAGATGAAAGCCTCTGCAGCCATCCTGGACTGCCATGGGCAAGGACACAACTGAGTCTCAATAAAACAGGAGTTAACAAGGCACAGACATTGATGAAGGCTGAAGAGAAGTCCTAGGGCGATGGGAGGCCCAGTAGAATTGGGAGCTAGCACCAAAGGTAAGATCTTGTCCTGTTCTGTCTTCAAGGAGCTGAGGCACACACAGCGCACAGTGACTCTCCAGCGTTAGAAATCTGAAAGTGCACCAAGTGCCAGATACAGACGCAGCCTGTTTCTACTCTGTTCAGTACCTGTGACTGCTGGCATGTTATTGCCATTCAATCTCAACCACAACATCGCCTCTTCAGGAGAGTCTCTGATGGCTTCCAAACTGGAGTACCCCTCAGCCACCATCACGTAACTTGCTTCTATTCCCATCATGATATTTATCACTACCTGATATTTTCTTGGCTCTTTGTGTCTTTGCTGTTTCTTTGTTTGGTTTTCTGCCTCTCAATAAATAAAATCTAAGGGAACAAAAGTTTACTCTGTTCAACACTATTCCATGGGACTTAGAAGAGGGCTAAGCACTTCATAAGCTCCTAAAAAATGTGAGTTAAGAACACATAAAAGAATGCAATAGAAATTCATATACTAAGCATCAAACAAAGAGAGAGGACTTGCCTTAAAAGATCAGGGAGGGAGTATACTATAGAAAGTAAGGGCAGCAGATGTGGATAATATCTTGGAAAGCAGAGCCTCAGGCTATGTCTGTGCGTTATGATATAAAATAGACAAAGAAGACTTAGAAAGGAATCCCATAAACAAACCAGCTAACTACAATAGAAT